TGTTGTTGTTGGTGAGCTGCCAGCCTTCTCTCCCTAGCTGCATCTTGTTCCATCTGCCACTTTTGAAAGTCTGTTATTTTTGGTTTTGCTTTTGGCTTTGACTGATTTCTCACAGGTTCTTCATCACTCGACTCAATGTCATGTTTAAAAACCTGTGCTTTTCGTTGCTTATATTTAGCAACCCTAGCCTTTGAACTACCAGACAGTATATTCTGTTTTTCAGCATTGCTTTCTGGAGAGTTAATATTGCCTTCACTACCATAATGTAAATTATTTCCAGAATTTTCTTTATTTTTTAGGTTACTAGATTGCCGAGCACTTTGCTTCTTTGGGGGTTTGGGTGAGTTGATTACTGCACCATCACTGAGGCTGCCACTTTCATAAGTTTTTGTCCGCTCAATTGGAGCAAGGGGGTGTGCTCTATCCCTCCCTGCACTGTTTTTTTGTTGGGGTTGATGTCCAGGGGGTACAGGGGGTTTTGACGGCTGGAAGCCTGATGGACCACCATATTCATATTTCTTTTTTGCTTTATAATGTTGATGAATGTTTGGTACAACTGACTGTTGACTGGCAATGTTTCTTCTTTCATTGAAGAAGTCTCTGACCATCCCTCTTCCACTGTTCTGAGCAACACGCTCCATTGCACGTTTTTGATTTTCCTCATACATTTTTGCAAGCTTCTGTTCCTTCTCTCTCATCAATTTTGCTTGGTAATCAATCTGAAGCTGCTGCAGTCTAGACAGTGGTTTTTGCCCCTGGCCCTGACCTTGGAAACCAGACGCCATGTTTCTTGTACTAGATGGATGATCGATCGCAGTGGGGCCGTGATAAGCCATTAACCAAAGGTAGGCTTTCTGCAAGTAAAGAATTATGTATGTAAAAAAGACTAAAATAATAATATATACAATGACGTTTTTGCATAAATCAAACATATTGAGCACATATTGCCTAAATTACAATGTAGTTCATTATGGGTTTTCAAAGTTCTCCAAGTTACTGTAATCTTTTCTTTGATATATCCTTCAAGAGTTGCATGCTGCACACATTTTATAAGTAAATTGAATTATGATAGCCAACTTGCATGCCATGGGAACAAGATTTTCACCTCTAGAAACCAATCAGTATCAATTACCCATTCGCTATCACACCCTGATTGGAGTTCAGCTTCTGTGACCATAGATAATCAGAAACAAAATTGATATTTTGTAGAGGTGCCAGAAACTGGACAAATGCATGTAAGCAATCTGTTTGGCTACTCATTTGATCACCTATTGTGGCTAGTTTTTAGCCAGTAATTCAACATATCTATATGTGTGTGACAACTAATTAAAATCAGACTCTTTTAACTGTCATGTGCATATTGTGAAACGTTCTATTTGAGACAAATTAGCTGTGTGAGGTGAAATGCTCGATAAAGGGCAATGCTTTCTACAGTAATGCAGTGTGTACTCCACCCCCTTTAATTTAGAAAAATCAGCAAATGCATGTTTTCAATCAGAAAGTACATAACTGGGTTGCAGAATTGCAGAAACCTGACAAGACCATCTACCATGAAGAATCAATCATGACTGGGCATACATTGTTGTACATCCTCCCCTTATCGGAAAGCCTTTTGGACTGGATGATATTGATGTACCTCAATTCAACATCAATATCCAAGTGCATTTTGAAGTACCTGAGCAATAATGTTTTAGACAACTTGTCAGCTAGTAAATCATTTATCTTTTACATAGCAATAAACACATTGCAAATAACAAGTTCCATAACAACTTTTCATAACAATCAATTTCCAAGAGTCAGCATGCTCTTTCATCATCATACAAGGTGACGTGTTTAATGTGCTGAAAACCATTAACAAATGATAAAAGCTTCGTTAACAGGCAAGGCCACACCCATGTGAAGTTAAGATATTTGATCCACTAACGCACTGTTTTTGTAACATTTGGGGACCTTAGATAAATGTTTTACCATACATATAATGATATATGCTACAAATTGGCATACAGTATTTGCTTAAACAAGTGAATCCCCCACTTGACTAATTGGAATTCAATGCTCACAATCAATGAATATTACATAAGCATATGGCAAGCATTTCCTATGAAAGGTGTTCTTATGCAATTTCCATTTGTTATCAGCATCAAGAAAAACCTATTTTATAGCTAATTAGTAGAACAGACACTGACAGATTATTGCAATATACTGGTATATCCATTAACCACGCTTTTGAGACAATAACAGCATACCCTTTACCTTACTGACGCAAAGCCTCCCTATACCAGAATACCTCAAAAATGTGATGACTTAATACATCCATTCAAACTTCTTTTGTAGCTACACAATTACCATGTATAGACTGATAACATGTCAAGCCATGCCTCAGACTGGTAAGATATAATGCTTCTGGTGGCAAAAATATTACACATAAATAAATTTGGCAATGCGCAATGAAACTTTAATTTACTTTGTGACTACCCCATTATCTTTAACATTAATAATAATAATATTTTTGTTTTACCATCAATTTGAATAGAAAATGGTATGCCATATAAATTCTTCCAATGTAATGGCCTTTTATTATTGTTTTTTTTTCTTTACTTTTAAATAATGATAATAATGTATGTACTTCCTTACACTTTTCATTGTTTTAAAAAAAAATATTTTTATTTAAAAATACTGGTGCACATGGATATCCAAAATCTCCCACAAATTACATAAAAAGGATTTATACCGTGTCTTTTTCAAAAACTGCATTTTATATCATAAACTCTACCCTTAAATCATTACCAAAAGTAGGTTTTTTATGTGCTGAATAATTATTAAATTAGCTGAGCTTTCTTTGACTACTGGTATTTCCAGAAATTATCCTTATTTTAAAATATTTATCTAATTCAAGATAAATTACTTCGTATTCAGGTAACTAAAAAGTTAAGACGTCTTTTCCACCTGTCAAACTTGGAATGTAAGGGAATGCCTATCTCAAAACAAGTAGCAAAAGTTTTGAACTACATTGTATTTTATAAAATGATCAGTATTAATGACATAAAAGCGCAGGGACAAATATATCAATCAAATCTTTCCAAATAAAAGACAACTTACCTTTCAGCCAAGCGTGGACACATTCAAATAACGTGACAGTGTTGCAGCAGCTGTGTTGAGGAATGTCGTAAACTTTAGGGGTCATCAGAACAGCAAGTGCTTGTTTGTCTGTCTCAGCCTAGGTCAGATTTAAACCGGAAGTTGACAAATCAAGAAATAGTTCAGGAATTCGGAGCTTTTTGACTTTATAATAGGTAGTTATTGGTGAAATATTAGTTCATAGAAGGTTTATGTTTATCTTTTGTAAATTTACTGTGAATCAAAGGCCATGTATTGATCAAATATAGACGCGGATAAATTTCTTGGCATTGGTTGCTTAGATACGGATAAATAAATTTTCATCACGTTGTTTCTCGCTTCGGTCACGCGAGAAGAAAACATTGGCCGGCATGGCGGTCAAGGTCAAATATCGTAGTGTAGATTTGCAACGAAGAAAGTTTACGCGAGTGCTTATTGGTGAGAAAAGACCAAGATACCATGAACCACTTCCATGGTTACATCAGTCTCTATTTACAGAATGAATTGGCATTACTTTAGTGATGTGGAATCCTTTTAAAATAGCATAGAGAATGCTAGCGTCTCCGTGCAGCCTGAAAAAGTCGGGTTCATTGTACGTTGTACATATGTGCATTCTCAAAAAATGAATAAGAGTGAGAATAAAAATGAAACAGCAGGTAAGCATATAAAAGTCTAAGCTGAAAACCATAAATTGATTTGAATTTTAAGATTATGATTTAGTTTAGCTGAAATAAATGTTGAGTTTTGGCCGTCAGAATGTCAGAATGAAAGTTTTGAAACTACTGTACTGTACTGTTTTATCAAGGTTCAGCCACACCGCATACAACTACCTGGTTTTATAAAAATGAAATTCAAATGTTGTTAAAAAGAAGAAAAAATTTAACTTGTAGGCCAGAAATCTCTGTGCGCCTTTATAAAATCCCATTTTTTTTTCATCAAAAGCTAACCTCGTGTAATTCTTCATCCATGTTATTGACTTAAATACTGACTTTTTTCTGTATATTTTTCCCTTTTTTTTAGAGTTGACATAATGATACGTCCCCTTGACAGTGACATTGTGTCTAAGCTGCGGTCTGGTGTTGCAGTGGCTACATATGCTCAATGTGTGGAGGAGCTGGTACTTAACTCACTGGACGCAGGTTCAACCTGTGTTGCAGTAAGAGTTGACTTGATGTATAATAAGATTCAAGTGGTAGATAATGGGAATGGAATTGATCCAAATGAGATGCACCTTGTTGGAGAGAGGTGATAAGCTTATAGTTAATTTCATAATATAGATTATTCCTCTTTTCTATCCATTCTGAGAAACTTTACGCCACCTATTTTATTACCAATTTAGAATAAGATACATGTAAATTTCAAAGTTCAATTTAAGTTTTTTAATAAATATGAACAGTTAGAAAAGTTCTGTGAAGGAAAATGATGTTTCAGAGATAAAGATACTGGAATGAGTCTTATATTACATAGAGCTACTTTTCATTCTCTAGCAATCTCTTTTTGAATTTTTGTATGTTTCATTTCTGTGTTTTATTTCATAACAGCTTTAGTCTTGTGGTATTAAACTTTAATTTTTCATTAATAATATGTGTGTTCAAAGATGCTACTATTGCAAAGGACTTTAAAAGGCCAAAAACAAGTTAAAATTGTATTGTTCTCTTTTCAGGTACTCCACCAGCAAATGCCATGAGATAACTGATCTAGACAACCTCAGGTATTATGGATATCGTGGTGAGGCTTTGGCAAGTATTCGAGATATAGCTGCAATCTTGGAAATCCAGTCAAAGACTAAACAGACTGGTAATATGTATTACAAGATCTTTCGTAATGGTAACCTACTGGAGAGTGGAAAATCAAAGCAACGTCGTCCAAGTGTAGGAACAACAGTTACAGGTATTTTTTCAACTCATTGAAATGAAATATAAACTGTGATAATATAAAATGCATAAAGATTAAATTTTATGTACCCATTATTATTGTACACAAATTGCAAAGGAGAAATAACTCCCATTGAAGTTTGCTTAGCAATGAGTGAATGTAATATCCACTTGTATTTTCAGACTGATCAAACTTTTTATGTACAGACACAGATGTGTCTGTACATATTGCCATCACCTGCGTCTGTCGTCGCCGATGGCGATGGCGATGGCGATGGCGATGGCGATGCCGATGCCGATGCCGATGCCGGCGCCGTGCACTTTCCTTGTAAACACGATAAGTGGAGGGCAGTTTTACTTTTTGGCTTTATATTTACAGAGCTGATGAATATTCATAAAACGCAGGTCAAGTTCGAAAATCAGCATGATCGGGCCATTATTGTAGAAGTTATGCTGTTTTTTCACTTTTCAGCATATTTTTCACATTTCCTCAGATTCAATTCTTAGGCATGTTAACAGTCTCATTATTAAACTAATAAGATACGTAAAAGTTTTTGTTTGACATTTCCTGCATCTTTACAACATTGTTAGTAGATTTTTTTAAAAAATGATGGTTAATTTGTTATCCTGTATTGTGTAATAAAGTTTCAAAAATGGAAATAAACTCATATCATTGCAGTTTGTCAGATTCAATCATTCACTATGTTCAGAATCTCAGAATGGAAGAAATTGGACATTTAACACTGCTCTATTGATATTTTTCCCATCTCATCAATTTTCTTAGTTGATCATATAAAAATGGCAGTAAACTGTTAATTTTGTTTTATGTTAAAAATTGTTAAAAATGGAAAAAAAAACATTTCAGAACAGTGCTGTCTTGTTTTTTTTTTTGCTTATGTACTCAGTTTATTTTAGATGTGTTTGATTGATTTAATTTCCTTAGGTTTTTATTTTTTTAATGTGTCTTATGCACAAAGAATGCAAAATGTCTTTTAATTGTAATTCAGGTAACAGTGCTAAGGGATCATCCATTGTTATCATCATTTTCACAGTCTACAGACCATATGCAGGGAGGGAGAGTTGATTAATGTCCACTGTGTGCTTTAGGAAAGCTCAATATTTTTAGCTTTTCACCTTGTACTCTCTGAAGGGAGTCAGGAGTCTGGGAAAAGCTTTCTTGTTGTAGACTTGTGAAAATCATGTTTATTCAATCTTTTTTTTATGGGCAATGCATTTTGTGCATTTTTTAGCTCTTGACATGTTCTACAATTTACCAGTCAGAAGAAAAGGTATGAATGCATCACTAGAGATGGAAAAAATCCGCCACAGAATTGAATGCATTGCCCTGATACACCCAAACGCCTCTCTTTCACTAAGAGATGACACATCAGGTAGGTTTTTATTGGAATGGTTTTTATTTTCTGTTACATGTCTGTATTTTTGCCAACTTTGTTGTCAAGTTTACTTATCTTTAAATTTTTTCTCAGATGTTCAAAAGACTTTATATCATACTATGCAATGTATTGAATTGTTGCCTAAAGTGGTGTTTACTACTATTTTAGGGACCAAACTTCTGCAGACCCATAAGAGTAGCACAGTCATTGGAGCATTTACTCATCTGTTTGGATCCTCAAAGGCAAGACACCTGAAGAAGGTAGAGAGCAGAAACGGTCAATTTCAGTTACAAGGCTATATCAGCAAAGAAGGACATTCAAATCGCAATTTGCAATTCATTTACATCAATGAGCGGCTGTTGCTTAAAACTAAACTACATAAATTTGTGAATTATCTACTTTCGAAATCCATGATTGTTAGGAAGAGAAGCAGACTAGATGAAAGACAAAAGGGGACCCCTGATTATACCGTCGCAACATCAAGCCCATCAAGACAAGTGGATAGGTATGGGATTTTTGTATTAAATGTTACTTGCTCCCTCAGAGAGTATGATATCACCCTTGACCCTGCTAAAACATTAGTGGAATTCAAGAACTGGGATGGAATCTTAGCATGTATTCAACAGGGAGTGCAGGGATTTTTGGAAAGGGAAAATCTACTTATGGGGTTGGAAAAGCCAAAATCAGAGAATGAGTCAGGGAAATTGAACTTAGATGGTTTGTCTGCTGATGGCGAAATTGTCCTAGTTCCACCAGGCAGTGCTGAAGATAGAGAAAAATCAGATAAGCAGGGTGGAGAAGAAGCCAATGCCAAGGGTCTTGATCTAGATGCTACTTCAGGAGGAGCTGGAGCAAAAAAATGTGGCAGCAGTATATGTGCTTTCAACACAACCAATAATTTGGTGTCTAAAACCGTGAAAAGAAAACTCCCACTCACAGTGTCTCTTAATGAAAAAGTAGAAGGATCACCTAAAGAAATAAATGAGGCAGAAAGCTTGCATTCATGTGGATCAAGTCAGGGCAGAAATGTTCACAGCATGGAAAAGACTAGTCCTCTTCAAATTACACCTGAAAAGTCTGGAACCTCCTCTCAGCATGGTCTTGAAAATCCTACATTTTGTGGCCTTTCACCAGAGTCTGGCAGTGAAGGCAAAACATCTGAAGATTCAGAAGAATTACCAACAATTAAAAGACCTAGAAAAAAAACACAGAAACATTCATCTGACACAGAGTGCTGTTTGTCCTTAATAAAAGGAGATTCATTCAATCAGTTTCTTACCCCATCTTCGATGAGTAACAATCACGGTGAAGGAAAAATGAAAGATGATATAGGGACAGAAAGCCAAGGGCAAAATGATGTTGATTCAAGTTCTGGTCTCTCTTTGTCTTCTGAAGAAATCACACCCGGACAAGGTACACCAAGGGTAACACATTCTAAACTCAAATGTTTAACCCCAGTGGTGAAACCTGCTGAATGTTCTGGTCCCGACTCAACATGTAGTAGAGAACCTATCTCAGAAGGAAAATCAGAGTGTGATGAGTGCAAAAGAGATCCATGTGTATGCATCTCAGGGCAGCCTTTCTGTGATAAAGAAAAAAAGCATGGAGACATAAAGAATTTGACAATTGGATGTGAACAACCATCTGGATTGACACCGTTGAAGAAACTACGTCAAAAGATATCAGCTAGAGATAACAATTCCACAAAATCTAGCATATTCTACAGAAGTTGTGTTCCTGGGACTGAACCATTTTCCCAGGAGAAGGATGTTACTGCTTCTGCAAGCAATCAAAATGCCAATAGTTTCAACAGCTCAGATCACTTTCAGAAGAGAAAGAGTATTGATAATTCTGAGGAAAGCTGTGCAGAGAATACAAATCATGATTTGCCTAAAAAGATAATGACACTGACAGACTTGCGCACTCTCAACAAAATGAAAAATTCAAACCAGTACAGCAGACCAGACAAGCTTGTTGAACTGAAACCACTGAAGAAAATCAGAGAAAAACTGTCAAGTTTCAAGAGGACTGAAGGAGTTCAAAAGACTAAAGCAGAAGACATGTATTCAACTCCACAAGAATTGATTAGGAAAGACAGTAGTATTCCTCCTCCTTGTACCCCAAAACTTGGGTGCGCTTCAAATTTACATCATTGGAGCTCTTCCCATGATTGCAGTGCTAGCAAAAGAGAAAATGAAACTTGTCATCCGGTGAGACATTCCACACCACTTACCATTGCAACAGAAAAAGACTCCTTTGGAATTCCTTCAATCTCAATTATTCCTCAAGAATGTGATGAAAATAAGAAAAATGATATGCAAGAACATTATGATGGTTGTCAGTCTGACATCAGAAATTGTAATGATTCTTACCTTTATCATTCTTCAATTGATGTAAGAGGCAAACAAGGTGTTTCCTTGGTCAATAGCCTGAACTTAATGACTGCAGATGCTACAGTTGACAGAAGTTGTCTCAAAAATGTCAGCTTGGTTAAAGAGCCCTTTGTGGACACATTTCAAAACTATGCCTTTCCTTCCAAGGAAAATTACAAACCAGAAAATGATCTCACTTCTGTGCCTCCATGTACAAAGTCTTATCCTGCCTGTGATTTAGCCTCATACTGTCAAAGTTTCTACAGAGACAGGTTTGCCCCTCTCTGTCTGGAATCTTCTGTGCAACAAGCAGTGAAAATTATGTCCTCAGATGACTTACTGCATTCACTAAGAAACAGGAATGATATTTTACAATATGGGAATGATCATGGTGGTATAAAAAAGCATTCTCAACAAATTGATTCACAGCATGTGACCCTGTCATCTGGTGATCTTCCCTTTGAGTCCTATTGCAAAGATGAATCTTTGTACCCTCTCTCCACATCACAGATGGACACAATGAAAAACTGTAACCTGCATAACACCACAAGAGGAATGGACAACAATGAGAACAACAGTACATTGCTAAGCATTGCCACAAAATGGCCTAGCACTGACACATGTAGCTTTGCAACAGCAGAGCCAAGTTCTTCTGACAAAACTGACAATTTGACACACAGTAACTTATCCACCAAACTTAAATCCAGATATAGGTCATCTGGTGAAAATACTTATACTATACCCACTGCCTTGGCTGCCTTTGAGGGTCTCTCAGAGATCTGTGAGTCACAGGAGTTCTCACTGACAGGACAGGCAGTAACTGATTATTTGGGAAAGGGAATGGATGTGGATCTTGCCACTACAGAAAGTTCAACCCAACCCTTTAAACTGTCAGATATTTCAAGTGGTAGTGTTGGTGATAGTGGTTTTATATCAACTTCATTTTCACATGACTACAAAGCAGAGAGTTTATCTAGGAGCCTGGATGATTTTTTACCTCCACCCACAATTGCCAGATTTCAGCTGTTTGCAATTCCAAGATCAGACAGAAAACATTGCGACCAGGACATGCATAAAGTAGATGAAGATAAGACAAACATTACATGTGAAATAACAAGGTTGTGTGAGGGGAAAGGAAGAAGGCACAGTGCAGAAAACCTTCACATGTTTTCGTTGCCTCCTAAGATTGCTAGACTTACTGAGCTGAATTATCAAAGAGGAAATGCTGACAAAAAATCGAAGATGAATTACCAGAGCAGTGTTGGCCTTATTGATGTAATGGACAATTCTGATCCAGAGAATTGGAGCCATCAAGATTGTGAATCACTTACTACTCAGGTGGAGCCTACAGATAGTTGGATTACAGGGGATGGATGCCCAGGGGATAAAAAGTCAAGACAGCAGTCTGGTCAAGTTTCAGTTAACCATGGTGGTCAGATGACAATTGGTCAGTGTGATGAAAGAAAAAGAGGTGAGATCTATGCTGGCCAAGAAGGCGTAGTGGACAGAGACCAGTGTGCCAAAGATGATGCTTCTGCTGGCAGATCTGAATCCGACTCAAAGGTTGGCAAAGCAGAGACACAAAAAGCCAGTTCCGTGCCACAGACCAATACAGTGCATTGTGGGTTTGGTCTTCTTAGTCAGCAGTGGATATGTAGGATTGACCCCAAATCAGGTAAATAACACCATATCTATATCCCCTTATTGATAACACCCACAATAAGTAACATTTAATTGATAAAACTGTGGCATTTCATATCTGTAACATCTCTTACAAAAAATTGGAACAATTAATTTGTACTTGTTTAAACCTACATACCTAGAATTTTATGTTTTTGTTATGCAAAATGTTTTGCAAAATTTTTTTTATCAATTTTGAAAGTAATAAACTTTGTTTTAGGAAGAACAATGTATGTCAACAGTGTAAATGGAAATACCACCTTTGACAAACCAATGACAGATTTGCCACAAGAACAAAATGGTGATAAAACTGGTAGGTGGTGTCATCAGTGTGGTTTTATTGAATGCAGGGTCATTGCATCATGGTAGAGAAGTAAAAATTGATTACTTGAATATATGATTTGTCACAACTTTTTTGTGTCTGTTTGTGTGTTTCTATAATTGCAAATGAGAAGTGTTTTATATTATCATAAAACAAATTCATTGTAATCATTTGATTATATTTTAAAACTTACGTCTATAGTACATATATTACGTAGATATTAGACTATAGTCTTTAGATTTTCTATTATGAGTTTCAGTGTGACTAATTCAGCCCATTTTCTCTTACATTACAACAGCCAAGTTCTCCTTTCAGCCTTTACCCTTGTAAAACACCACAAACTTCTCACAGACAATGCAGATGCTTTCTTGCCTGCAGTCCAAAGAAGAGAGAAGACCACCACAGCTCCTTCACTGTCTCCAGTCTCACAGGCGAGTTTGTCAGCTCTGTGGATCCAGCACCAGGACCTGCAGGAAGAGGAGAGCACTGTAAAATGGAGGGATGCTGACTGTAAAAGAAGTGAGTTTTGGCAAGTCTTAATATCTGTATAACTGAGGGAAGAAATTACACAATATATTTTTTTATCCTTTGTATTATTAAGTTTATATAAGTGGATCATGCATATTCGTTGTATGGTTGTACCAAGAACTGATTGCAGTTTGTCTTGTACCATTGTTAAGATTTCAAAATATGACATTTTTGCAAATGGTTTTTATTTTTCAAACTAGAATATTTACAGTGTAAAACTCTTATTTTCAGATTGTGACAGTCTCAGTGGGGAGGTGCAGTCACTGTTGGATAAATGGGAGAATCCAGTCCTCAAATCTTCTGATCAGGTGTGTTGCACTTGATGACTTGAAAATTGATAGAGAAATTATCGCTTCAATATAATCTTTTTTTAAACATATATATGTATGTATGTATGAACGTATGTATTTTTATTTTTCATTGGTTTATTTTTTAATTACAATTTTTATACTAGAAGGCATCATCTGTCCACATAATGTCTTTATATATCTGTCATAATTTATGTAGTTACAAGTTAAGAAATTGAAACATGAAAAAATGTTTGGTTATGTTCTTTGCAGTCCATCCCAAATCTGAATGTGTTTGGCACCCAGAGTGCTGGCATTTACCCATTCAAATTTACCAAGGATATGTTTAACAGGATAGAGGTTTGTCTCTTGAATAAGTATTATTATCTTTTGTGATTTCTAACCTTGATTGATTTGATTGATTTTAATTTTTGGAAAAGCAGGAACCATCATAAAAGAATCATTAACGGTAATTTTTCATTTATTTATTTTATTATGAACACATTAGAGGAAATTTGCATAGACTTCATGGGTTATTTTTGCCATCAGCATTCATTATCTAGATTCTAATAATCCATAACTTTCAACTTGGTATGATTGAATCTGCCTTTTAACTTGATCAGAATGTTTTTTCTGTGATTTTAGGTGGTTCAGCAGATTGATAATAAATTTATTGCCTGTATGGTATCCTTGAATCAAGAATGTTCAGGTAGATATGCAGAGAGTGTTTGCTGAGAAGATGCTGTCGTCATAACGTTTCTTTTCTTTAATTGGGAATGGGATGATTGGCCAAGTGCTGTTTAGGCCTATATGTAATAACATTTTGTTTTATCATATATATTGCTTATTGGGATATGAGATAAGAAATGTATATTAAGGTATTCTGACTTATCTGGAAATTACTAATTACAGTACCTAATCTCTTGGTGGTGATTGACCAACATGCTGCCCATGAGCGTGTGCGTTTGGAAGACTTGGTTAAAGGTATTTATATCCCCTCCATCTCCAGTGGCGCGAATTTCATTTAAGACATCAGTAACAGGCACAATATGTTAAGTGCTTGATGCTTGGAAAGTAAAGATCACTTTTATTTTTATCAATTTCATATGAGATTTAGCCAAATTCCTTTAACTAATTGACCACCAGGTAATAAAATAATGACAATCTGGATGATTCATAAGAGTATGGTTTATCATACTGTATCACAGTCATTTATGTAGCGAATAAAAGGAATTCTATCTGCTTGAGATTGAGAAGAAGGCATTTCATATACGAACCTAAAAATACGTGTCAGACTTTCAGTATTTCTGCCATAGATCTAACCCTTCCATCTTGCTGCTTTTTATGTCCTTAGTGTGATGTGTCATTTTGATAAATCATTCAGGTGAATTTGAAATGTGTTTTTTCAATAAAAAAATTGTGAACTGACATTTTATTTTTGAGAACATTATAGGAATAACATTTACATTTTGTCAAACTTTAGAAAACTACGTGGACAGTGATCAACAGAGAATCTTGACGTCATGCATAGATCCACCAGAAGTGTTGACCCTCCTCCCAGATCAGGTCAGGCTCATGCAGGCTTACAGGACACAGCTTGAAAACATAGGTGAACACCATGTTCAAATGAATGCCTTTTTGATAAGATTGCCTTAATGTACTCGTGTATGTTTGACTCAGTGTTCTTATGAATTGTATCTATACAATTGTTATATTTTATGTCAGAAACATACTCTTTGTGTTTCATTCTTTGTTGCAGATATGGCAAATATATATATTAAAATAGGATTTTTAATTTTTATGTACAGACACAGATGTGTCTGTACATATTGCCATCACCTGCGTCTGTCGTCGCCGATGGCGATGGCGATGGCGATGCCGTCGCCGTGCACTTTCCTTGTAAACACGATAAGTGGAGGGCAGTTTTACTTTTTGGCTTTATATTTACAGAGCTGATGAATATTCATAAAACGCAGGTCAAGTTCGAAAATCAGCATGATCGGGCCATTATTGTAGAAGTTATGCTGTTTTTTCACTTTTCAGCATATTTTTCACATTTCCTCAGATTCAATTCTTAGGCATGTTAACAGTCTCATTATTAAACTAATAAGATACGTAAAAGTTTTTGTTTGACATTTCCTGCATCTTTACAACATTGTTAGTTGATTTTGTAAAAATGATG